CCAAATGATTTGCAGTGCTCGTTTTCTGGCTGCGAATTCTTTTAGCTTTTGTTTATCGTGAAATATTTTAATTTCATTGTCAAATCTGAAGCTTAATTTTGCTGGATACAGTATTCTTGGTTGGAATCCATTATTTTTCAGCGTTTGAAATACATTGTTCCAGGATCTTCTCGCTTTCAAAGTCTGTGATGAAAAATCAGTCGTTAACCTAATTGGTTTACCCCTGAATGTAATCTGCCTCCTTTCTCTCGTAGCTTTTAATATTCTCTCCTTGTTCTGTATGTTGGCTATCTTCATAATTATATGTCTTGGAGTTGGTCTATTATGGTTTTGGATGTTTGGGGTCCTGTAGGCTTCCAGGATTTGGCAGTGCATTCCATCTTTCATCTCTGGGAAGTTTTCTAGAATTATTTCATTTAATATGTTGTCCATTCCTTTGGTTTGAATCTCTATGCCTTCTTCTATCCCGATGACTCTCAAATTTGTTTTTTTTATGACATCCCATATCTCTTGAATAGATTGCTCATGGGATTTAAGCATCTTTTCTGTGTTGACTAAATTCTTTTCAAGTTGATAAACTTTGTCTTCATTATCTGATGTTCTGACTTCTACTTGATCTAGTCTATTTGTAATATTCTCGTTTGAGTTTTTAATTTGGTTTATAGTTTCCTGCATTTCTAGGATTACTGTTTGATTATTTTTTTAAGATCTCTATCTCCTGGTAAAGCTCGTTCTTTGCCATTTGAATTTGTTTGTTTAATTCATTTTCAAAATATACTTTTATTGCTTGGACTTGCTGTCTCATGTCTTCTCTAATATTCCTTTCCATCTGAGTTAGGTATGCCTTGAGTTCTTTCCCTATGTTTCTGATGCTTCTAGGTCCTCCTGTAGATTTAAGTTGTCCTGCATTGTTTGTACTCCTTTTTTCCCTTGTTTTTTCATGATGTTCACGTTACTTTCCAGCTCTATTTGATTGTTGTGTTTCTGCTCTCTTCTATAGATTTATTTTGGTTTTGTATATCTCTGTTGTCTCTCCTTTGTGTTGGTATACTATGCCTGCTAAAGTGGATTCCACTGGGAAGGAATTCCGACGGCCGAGCTCCAGTGATGTCACCTCTCTGATATGGCTGGCCCCAGGCTCCTTTCCGGGGTGTCTGAATGGGGGGAGTGGGACTGGACTGTCTCTGGTTGGTTTCAGCTCCTGGTCGCTGGCAGGAGGACGGTCTCCAGACACCCAGTCGCACGGGCAGCGTGTGGGCTGTCGCCGGCGGGCGGGCGATCTCTAGCCGCCCAGTCGCGCGGTCGGTCGCCGGCGGGCGGATGGTCTTCAGCCGCCCAGTTGCGCGGGTAGCCAGCGGGCGATAGGTCGCCGGCAGGGGGGCGGACTCCAGCTGCCCAGTCGCACGGGCAGCAGGCAGGCTGTCACCGGCGGGCGGGCGATCTCTATTCGCCCAGTCGCGCGGTCGGTCACTGGCGGGCGTGCGGTCTCCAGCCGCTCAGTCGCAAGGGCCTGGCCTCTAGTCCCCTGGTTTCTCCTGCTAGTCCTGGTTTCTCCTGCTAGACCAGATTTCCCCTGAGTGATGCCTCTCGGCAGTTCAAACTGTACTGTGGGCCTGCCATTTGTTGGGTGTGGAGGGTGTCTATTGGGAACCCCAGCACCCTATTGTTTTGATTTTTTCCGCTTGCCCCTCCCCCAGCGCTGGCTAGACAGGTTTCGTTTTCGCTGCTGATGGGAGAGGGAGTTGAAGGTCAGGTGTCTCTAGTTTTCCCCTAGTCTTTATGCAGGCTTGCTCTGATAATCCCTCCCCCGGACAGCCTAGGAGAGATTTTATGCGAATTCCCCGCTGTATGGGAGCTGAGCTGAATAACACACACCTGTTTTATTGTTGCAATCTGTCGGAGAGTGGCGGTGGTTACTTCAGCTCTCCAAGATGGTGGCCGCTGGTTTCCTTGGTGGAGTTTCTGTTGTGGGGGATAGAACTGTACCGCTTCCTTCCCAGTCTGAAATCCCGAACTCAGCCCGGGGATTAGTAGGGGCTCAGCCGGCAGGATTCCACAGAATCCGCAGCAACGTTTCTCCCTGCTTGCTGGTCCCTTCTCGGTGGTGCCCCGCCGTCTGTAGCCGCGGGGCGGGCTGCACGGATCAGTCAGCCCGGATCTCCGGATCTCTGGCATTTGTTTTTTAGAGATGGCTAACTTCACTTAGCATAGTCTGCTCTAATGCCATCCATTTCCCTGAAAATGCCATGATTTTTTAGTGCTGAGTTATTTTTTAGTGCTGAGTAATATTCCATTGTGTATAAATGCCACATTTTTTTTTGCTGAATTTTAAAAGCAAGGACTGTAACCAATATGCTGTAGAATTTTATAATGATTGTTCCTTTGATTTTGCAAACAAGTATTATTTGGACATACATTTTTCTTTAGTAAAATATACAATATAGAGTTTATTCATGTTTTTATTAAAATGGCTAATTTTAGCAGAGAAGATATTTGATTCTCTAAAAAAGTTAATTTTCTTTTGATTATAAAACAAGGCCAATCATATCTAAATTTGAAGCTGAATTATACTACTTATAAGCTATATGAACTTGAATTAATCCCTCTACCTAAAAACTCAATATATTCATAGTTTATTTTTAAATGAGGATTAAGTCAATTAATATATACAAAGCACTAATGTGGTACTATTAAGGCCTAAAATTATAACTAATATTATTAACTTTAATTTTATCAATTAAATGAGATAATATTACACATGTAAAAATGCACATAGTTAGCATGATATTTTGTAAGATTTAATAAGTGGTTGTTAAATGTATCAGGTAAAAGATATTGGAAACATGGAAATGATTATAGTAAAAAGTGTTATTTAAAATCTTGTTAGCTAGTGACAAAAAGCCAGTATTTCATTCATTTATTTTGTTATGTCTTGTTAAGTTTATCAGAGGCTATACCCTTGACATCAAGAAGCACACATTTATTTTTAATGAAAGGAAAATAGTTACTTTCAGAATTATGAATAAATTACAAAGTAAACAAGAACAAAAGTATATGAGATTTACTAATTGCTTACGTATAGTGTATTGTTAACCTGGCCATAATGGCATTTTTGAAAAATAAAAATATAAATTAAAAATATTTTACATACAAAAACACTCTGCAAGACAATAAATGACAAATAATTTTAAACTACAATTATAGATCGTAATGGGAGGAAGCCTACCTTGGAGTGTCAGGAGAAACCTTTGAAAACTGACTTTTGAACTGACACCTGAAGGATTAAAGGAATCCAGGCACACAACATTCCAGGCTTGATTTCCAAAAGAGCAAAGGTCTTAGGTGTTGAAGGCCATGACTTAATGTGGGAGAGCTTGCAGGAAAATGGAAAGCTGTACCAAATAATGTTTGAGAAACAGGCTGCAACCAGTTGGGGTCAAGACTAGCAGACCAGGAAAAGATGATTGGATTTTATTCCAAATGCAAAAGAAATCCGTGGAAGAATTTTAATCAAGGAAGTAAAATGATGATTTGTGCTATAAGAAGTCTAATCCTTGAGCAGTGGGTTGTAGAAGGGATCAAGACTGGAATGAGTGAGAATAGGTAGAAGGCATTGCTATATTTAGGTGATAGATGATGGTAGAGTCTACTGGTATTAGAGTGAGAGAAGTCAAGTGTGGAGTCAAGCTATATTTAGCATGTAAAATCAACATGGAAAAGGAAGGGTTCAGGGAAGACACCCACATTTCTCAATCGAATATGTGTTAATTTCCTAGGAAATGTAGGAATATCTGAGAAGGAGATGTGGACAATCCAGAGTTCCACTTTGGCTAAGTGTGAGAGAGTAGAATATTCTTGAGATGAAGAGGATGGACTTTGGAATAGGTTCAAATCCTACTCTGTAATTTATCACCAGTAGATTTTGAATAAACTGTACCTCATTTTATCATCTTTAAATATTGGGATGGTAATAATACCTGCTGAACAGGGTTATGAATATTTAATTAAATCAATCTATAAAATGCTAAGAACAGCTCCTGAGACATTATAAGCAATAATAATTATTGCTATTATTATTGGTCATACAAGTGGCAATGCTAACTAGAAAATCTGGTACATAAATATGACAGTTAAAGGAAAGTGATTGACATTCTAATTATCGTAAGAGAGCATCTCACCTCATTACACTGCTTTTGAATGAAAGAAAATAGCTTCTATTGTTTTCTTTCTACTTATCTTTCTCTGTCATCTTTACCCTTCCCTCTTTTTGTGGATTGCAGAAGGGGACCTGGGTGAAGATGGGAGAGAGGGTAAGAAGGAAAAGATTGTTAAGGAAAGTTAAGAAGTTTTACTTCAACTCAAAAAAACAAAACTCATTTCCTTCTTCAACTTTAAAATTAATCCAGAAGCCAATTCTAGCTTTTAATTAACTACATTCAAATTTCCTGTATAAATTGATCAGAACTCTTTTCAGTTTTGTCCAATGATTATTAAATATGGAAACCACAAGAAATAATCTGTGACTGGCATGCTGACTGCACTATCCCATTATAACCTGTGAAATGGCAGGTTTATTGACACATCGAAGGACCTTTCTTCAGTTCTGCTTTCTCCTCCATAAACAGCTACATTATTTAATAAAAAAATACCATTTTGCCTTATGGAAATAAACTACATAAACCTTCAAATATATGAATGGATTTGAACATGAGTGCCATTTATTCATGTGTTTAATAAAAAATAAAATAGTTCAGTGCCTGGGTGATAGATACTTCATCATTTCCTGGGACTTCCAAGAGGAACATGGCATTTACCTTCAAAATGGAAAAGCCCAAACATGTGAAGTGGTTAATTTTCATAGAATCTATTTAAAAACTGTAACAGGTGCCAAGTAAATATGCCTTATTGTTGTAGTCATAAATACATGGAGATCCTTCTTGAAGCATCACTTTTCCTTTCTTTCTTTTCTTTTTTTCTTTCTTTTTTCTTTTTTTATCCAGCCTGTTAGCAGGGTTATGAGAAGAAGCTCAGAAAGGAACCCTGCCAGGGGCCACCACCAGCATGAGGTGCCCAGTCATCCAAACTGGTAAGTGGAATAGTGTCTCCTACATGTCATGAAATCTGTTGATCCTGTTTCTTATGTACTTATTTTATATTCTATAAATTTTTCAAACAGTGTTTCTAATATTCCTCTGGGAAATTTTTATAGACAGACATGGATTGGAAGAAGTCGTGGAAGTTTATAGAAGTTGTTCACATTCTCTTAGTTTTATTTTCCTTATTTTAAAAATGAACATTACAATAGTTATCTTGTTAGATTTTTTTCTAAGAATTAACTAAGAATTTATATACAAAGACTACAGTGGTTCTTCGCATAGAGAAAAAAGGTGAGAATATTCATTCTTGCTAAATACTTTTCACAGGCCAAGTAATGCATGCTAAATACTTCAACATTTGTTTAATCCTCACTACAAAACTGTAAGTTGGCAGCTATAATTATGCACTTATTAACAGGAAGAAACTGTGCTGTCAGCAGGTTGTGTGACTTGCCTTTAACTGCACACTGCTCCCTGAGATGGCTTTTAGAGAGCCATTCTCTTTGATGGCAGAGTTTCTGTTCTTATATTTACTTATAAAGTCAGGAAATATTAATGAAGTATCTACTATATACCTCACTTCTTTTAACTGAGATGCCATGCTTCTTCCCAAATGATTGTTTTTTATATTATATTGTTATATTGAATATTTATATGAGGCCTTATAATTTAGAGTTGTGAATCTGTAATTGTGCTTTACACACTCTGTCAAGCCGATAGGTGGGGATCATTATTTCTATCTTTACAGATAGAGAAATTGAGTTTCTGAGAGGTTAACTGGCTCACTGCATTCTTTAGAGTTCAGCGCTTCTCAGACTTTTCAGTGGCTAAGGGTTAGTGTATTTTTTATGCACTGCAGATTGAATGTGTTTGTAAAATTACTAGAAAGCAATTGAAAGAAATAAAGTGATAAAGAAGAAGACAGAATACACAAAAATCCACACTTTTATTTCTATTTATCATTATTCTGCAATACATAAAAGAGTATACTACATTTCTATAAAAGTGTCTAATGCTTTCTCTCCAATTCCCTATTCCTTATGGTGCAGATTGGTGATTGCAGACTGACACTAGCAAAGAGATCAAACCATGTAGCTAACATGAGGCAAATCTAACAGGAAGTCCTAGGCCTTCCACCTTGTAGTCCAGGTCTCTCCTATTACCCCAGATAGCAACACAGAGCAGGAATCCTCATGTGTGATATAAGGGGAAAGAAGACTGAATTCCAAATTTTTAAAGTGAATCCAGTGTAAGAAAAGTGACAATGATACAACATCTTAGAAGAGTTACATGAAACAATTGACATGAAAAAGCAGAAAAACAGTTGGAAATTTACAGGAATGATTTCTTTTCATTTTGTTTATAAGATATCAAGACTTCTAAAATATTTACTATATATTGTTGAAAGACTTTCTCAAGATGCTTTTTATTTCTTTTTTCTTTTCATCTTATTTATTCTTTGAAAGGAGAAGTTAAGGTCTATTCAGAAGAAGGGGCCTTGTCAGTTCCCAAGAAGTGTATAGCCCTGTGTATAAGATTAAGAAAAAAATATTGGGATTATGGTCAGCTGTGAAAAAGAAAATTTAAAAAGAAAGAAAGAAAATGAGTGACATATCCATACTACACTGAAGGAAGGGAATTAAAAATAAATGTTACTGTTCATTTCAAAAACATCCAGAAAAATCACAGCAATTTTGGTACAAAGTTAAATGCATATTGAGTCAGCAGCAAGAATTTACTTAGTAAGAGGATTTTGTGGCTTTCTCAGTTCTACTAAAATGGATCCAAATATTTACATGTGCTCTTTTATTAATAACTATTTTACCATCTGTGTCAAAGTGTTATTGCACAGATGTTCAGGAATAGCTTTTGGTTGTGGGTAAATATTAGAGGAAGATTGAAGTTTTCTCTAAATTATGCAGATAGAATGGTTTTATAATAGCTTAATATGTCAGAAATAAGGCTTTATTTTTTAAGTCCCACCAACATAACAATGTGGATACAACTTAGTATGGCTGTATGTGTACCAGAAATGCAGCTCAGTAGTTCAGTGATAAAGTGTGTGTGTACCATGTGCTTTAGCATGTGCAAGGCCCTGTGGGTTTGATCCCCAGCACCATGCTCACGCACAAACACGTGCACATATGTACACACACACAAAGACTACAAGGCTATTGAGAAGAATGATATTTATAACAACATTCACAAATGAGAATTTCAGTCAACATGTTAGGTTTTGAGAAGTCTTTACATTGCTAAATCGAAATTCACCAAATAAAGTAGAGCAAACCCACAGCCATCAATAACATAGATTATGTGCATGTTACTTTCTGTCCCAACTCAGACATCCAATATTTGACATTGGTCAGAAAGTTAACTAATAATACCTGGGCACCTCTCTTCAATCAATGACTTTACATTATATCTATTCATGACTATTTCTCCTGTTGCCTATGAAACGGGAAGAAAGGAAGAAAGAATGTATTATTGATGTGTTGTATCCAAGGAAATATAGTCCAAATATGTATTGTGCATTATGCAATGCTGGGAGTAGAGACACTAGTTGCATGTGTACACTGTGTGTGTGTGTGTGTGTGTGTAAAATATTGGTTCAGATTAAGGTAAGATGATCACACAGCAGGGAAAGATGGTCCAACAATATTTTAGCAGAGTTGCTTTATTTGAATCCCTGTAACTTATTGGAATTTGGGTCTGATGTTGTTTGTAACTATCTACTCTTCAACTATAAAACTTAAAAACTTTCTGCTAAAAATAAAATTAGCAGTAAAATGAAAGGCTGAGGGTCAATCTTATCAATTGTCTATTGGAAAACTCCACACCTGGATAGATTTTATCTCAGTCTCATATTAGTAAAGAACAATAGTAACAAGATCAGCAATTCTGACCTAGATCTGGATAATGATTACTTGACATGAGAAATGAAAGCAAAGGAAAAGAATTTATATGATTTGTATCTTGAATGTCCCCCAAAGGCTCATCTTCTAGAGGATTGGTCCTAATGCTGCAATGTTCAGAGGTGGGGTTTGAGGTCTTGGGAAGTGATTGAAGCATATGGTTGTAACTTTAGTGTGGATGAATCCATTGATAGATTCCTAATGTGATGAAACTGTAGGTGGCAAGGCCTACTAAGAGCAAGTGAGTTACTGGAGGCATGCCCTAGAGGAATATATCTTCTCCCCCAGAGCTTTTGTCTCTGTGTCCTGGATGCCATAAACCAAGTACCATTCTTCTACCCAGCACTTCTGCCATGATATTCTGTCTCATCTCAGGCCCAAAGCAATGGAGTCAGCTAGCCAACCATAGACTGAAATCTCTACAACTGTGAGCTAAAATGAATCTTTATTATTTTAAGTTACTTTTTTTCTCATGCATTTCAGTCATAGCAACAGAAAAGCTGACTAACATGAACATATAAAGAACTATGAGTTAATACAAAAGTCAGAGAAAATATTAGAAAAAAAATTTGCCATTTTTACATATATTGTGAATGACTCAGAAATTAAAGCCTAGACCTAGAGTAAGTTGAAATACAAAGAAGTGAAAGGAAATGAAAAGTGCAAGGAAATAATTCAATCTTCTTTGGGGGACAATGAATAACAGAATCATACTTGTAGAAAGAAAACTGAGGAAACACTCAGCTTCTTCACACCCACACAGGGCAAAGACTGGTGATGAAAACAATGAGAGAGGAAATGGCCAGCATGGAAGACAAAAAGCAAATGCGTGGGTCACTGTGACTTAGAAATATAACAAAATGAATATTAGAAAGAGCAATATTCAAATACCACATGGAGGGGGAAATCTCACTCAAGAAATAAATGGAAAATATTTTTAACTTTTTTGAAAATTGTTTGCTGTGGTCTGAGATTTTTTTTTTTTTTTTTGGTATGGCATAGGAAATACCTTTCTTTAAAATTTAGCACAACCTGATGTTAAACCTAGACAAAGATTATTTTGGATATAGTAGGCTTTTTTTTAATTACTGGAATTACTCATGCTTGTATACTTATTTGTGTTTTCAGGCTTTCTTGCATACGTTAGTTGGTTTTGATTATTTTTTTTAACCTAAGAACACTATCAGAACTAATTGTTCACGTATGAACCTGGATGTGTCAAGACCTGTGCACCCCATGATAAATAAGTGATTTTACTGTTTTTCTCTTTTGGCCTCTTTCGTTTTCTGACATGTAAAGTAATAATGCAACATTAGTTTAAGTAAATACTTTTTATTGAAATATACATAACAAGAGTATTCAAATTCTGACTGCATACCCTAGTAATTCTTAGTCTCAATGAACTGTGAAATCCCATTCAGATTGAAAACAGATCATAACCAACATCATTGAAGGTATTCTTTACTCTTTTCAAGTCACAAATCCCAATCCTTCATAAGGTAACCCTTTCTAATACTATGAGTTCTAATGCTATGGATTATTTAGCCTGTTTTTGAGCTTTTCATATAAATTTAATAATAAAGTTTGTAATTGTATTGTGTGTGGCCTCCTGTTCTCAATTTTATGTACATGAAATCCATACATGTTAGATTCATTATGACTAGTTTGAGGGTCTTACAATTTTATACATGCATTTTGAGATGTGTATGTAAAGATTTTCATTGTATAATTTCTTTCATGTGACTTTAGAAGCTTATTTTTAGTACTAATGCTACTTTCCCAATGGGTACCTATTTACATTCCTGCTGACACAGTGTAAGTGTTCTGGTAGTTTTGTTTCATTACCAAAACTTGGACATTTCAAAGATTTTTTGTTTTGTTTTGTTTTAGTTGTTCTGATGGATGTGCTATAGTTTACCATTGTGATTGCAATTAAAATTTTTGTGATGAAAGATGATTATGTTTACTACCACAGAGCAACAATTCCCTAGCCACCTCCGAATTAAAAGTATATGGAAAATTAGAGGAGACATTAAGAAAGGTAGTAGTTTTGTTCACCTCTGCTGAGTGAATAC